GCACCCCACGTCACGCGTGTCACGCGTGTCCCGCGGGGCGCACGCGGGGGCTGCACAGCTGGACTTAGGATCCCTCCCTCCCTCCCAGACCGGTGGCTGTGTATCTGGGGGTTCGGTCGGCTCAGGACTCGGCGGCGGCAGCGGGTCACCCTCTATTCCAACCGGGGCCCTGGGGTTAGCCGCGGCTGGTCATTGTTGGAGCACAAAGGGCCTGGCGCCGCGGCGGCCGCCCTTCCCCTGCACTCCCCCACCCCCGCTCCTCTAGTCGAAACCTCCCTCCCAGGCACACTCTCCGGCTTCGGAGTCCAGAGGGGGAGGCAGAGGAGCGGGGGTCAGTTGCCACCCACTCTACCCGGCTGCCGAGGCCGGCGCCCCAGCACAAGGGGCCGAAGCTTGGTCCGTACCTGCCCCACCCCCAGCGGCATGGAGGCGGCACGCTTGGATTTGCGGAGGCTGCGCCACCTGGCGGCTTATTTCAAGAACACACCCAGTCCGTCACACACACATATATACACACACCCATCCATCTCGGCGGGGGCCTTACCCGACTCCCCAGCACTGTACCCTTCCCTTCGCGAGCCCGCGAGTGCTTCCCAACCTTCCCTCAGAGTCATTTGCTAGGACAGCGATCATTGCTTGGAGAGGCAGCCCCTGGCTCCTCAACATCACTGGGGTGAGCCTGTCCAAACCTGCAGTCCAAACCTCCACCAGCCTCACAGCAGACAACATTCCAGTCTTCTCAGGGTCACGAATATTCTCACCCTCTGGCAAACAACACAACCTTAACACCCACACGACCTTTCCCACATTCAGTCTCACATAGCCACAATCACAGTCTCATCTGTCACGTGGTTCCACGTTCTTTCTTTCCATAATCTTTCCAACTCACACAGGCACACTCAATGTCACACGCCTAGTTGTGCCCAAGATCTCACAACTTGCAGTCCTTTACACCCAGTCACAATCTTAAACACATAATCTCCTAAGCATCTTTCACACGTTGACAGGCTTATTCACAGCCATACAACTTCCTACATATACACACATTTATCAAACATTCTACCACACAGACTTTCCTGTAGGGGTCTCTGTGACTTGGTCAGGTCAGTTGATGCTGGCACCCCTGGGCAAGGACAGCCTCCTTCTCCTTAACCCCTGCAACAGGGCCAGGCCTGAAAGAACTCCTCTGCTCCAGGAAGGAGCATCTCCCCCGCCTTCCAGGCCACAGCCCTGGCTGGCTCTCAGCTCTATTTTTAGCTCTATGGAAAGGGTTGTTTTTCTTTTTCCCTGGAAAGGGAAACATAGCCCAGCCACCCTCAGGCTCACCCCGGACCCCCAGCCTCACAAGAACAGACGGAGCCCCTCTCTCCAGTAGAGACCCCCTCCTCTGGCCTTGCCCTGATCCCAGCCTCCTGGGGCACCAGAAGCCTCCTCCCCTTTCTGGCAGCCTGCCCAGAAGCTCAGGCAGCAGCTGGGCTCAGCGTGTGTAGGGTTGGGGGGTGGGGCAGGGAAAGGCCAAGGGCTGCTGCCCACTCCCTCATTAGGGGGCTGGGGTGGAGGAGGGGGGCTCGCCTCCCTTCTACACCAGTGGGATAGGCCCACTGGTGCTGACGGGAGGTTTATGCTCCTGCATTTTCTGGGAGAGGGGAACTCCCAGTCTTGCCTGAGTGGGTTTCCTGCTCCTACCTAGGGGGGAGGAGCTCCCAGTTCTGCAAGAAGGGGTAGTAGTAGGAAGGGGACCGACGGGAGCTGGGAGCTGGGGCAGCTGCTCCTCAGGCCGGTGGTATGGGGCAGGGGCTGCCGTCCGCTGTCATCAAGAATAGCGCCCCTCTCTGACACTTGCGAGGCTGGAGGTACCATGAATGTGTTCAGGAGAAGAAAGGCTAGGAGCCCAGGTAACCCCACCCCAGCCTAACAGTTCTCCGGTCCTCCTGTGCTACCCCAACTCCAGGGGGCGTTGTGTTCCCATTTCTAGGGGAGGGCTTATCATTTATCCATGCGGAGGATGGAATATAGCCCCGCGTGGAACCTCGCCCTGATGCCGGGGTGGGGAAGCACAGCCCACCTGTCTGCGAAACGATCACGTGCTCGGCGCCTGTTTACAACTTAGTTGTCACCTGTGGGCGGCGGGGAAGCTGGAACAGCTGGAGGTGTCCCACCCGGCCTACCCACATCGGCCCTTTCCTCCCACCACCGTCATGTACGCGACAGTAGAGAGCCCTGCCCGCTAGGGGTCCGCGCGGGCCAGGGGCTGCAAAAGTACTCCACTGGGTGCGTCCTTTCTCCTGAGTGCACATGTGTTCGTGTGTCCCAAGTGCGTGCGTGGGTCTGTGTGCACGCGCGTGTGGGCCCGTCGGTGTTTCCGTGTCGGTTCTCTGTTCAGACACTTTGCCTGCGTCCCGCGGAGTGGAGACCCCTCACCTCATCCCAACCCCCAGCTTCGCCAGACTGCAAAGTTTACTCCGGAGCGGAGATGAGCAGGAGGCTGGAGTTCCTACACCTCTGCGCCCCTACCACTCACCCAGCGCCACCTGCGCCGCTACTCCAGCTCCTGCCTGGCTCCTCCAGCTCCAGCGCGGACACCTCTTCGCCGTAGATCCGCCGGCTCCTAAGCCCGCTCCGGGTTCCAGACTCCCGGCGCCCGCCAGGCCAGGCCTGGTAGAGCGGGGCGGGGCCGCCGAAGGCCGCGCCCCCCGACCCAGGGAAGGGAGTGGTCTGTCCAGCAACCCCCACCCCCGCAACAGCCGACCCAGTACCCTACCCAGCAGAGCCACCGTGGCCCGAGGCTGCCTTCTCGTATTTGATTTAACAGCTTACTGGATTTAGCTTTAGACTTGAGGAAGGGGCGAGCTGCACGTGACCGAGAGCTAAGCTACCTACCTGGCTGCATTAAACAAGCTGGCTACAGGGCTTTTTCTGCCACCGCCCCTGCTTTGGAGAAAGCCAAACCTGGTCCACTCTCGGCCCATTCCCCAGACACAGGGAAAACCCCTGGGAAGCAGACAAAGAAGGCTCCGGTTCCACCGAAACAGACCGGATCCCCCTCGACTCCCCCTAGACCTAGGTTTGGGGTTGCCCAAGAACCAGCACCTCGCTCTCCTCTGGAGTAGATGCCTACCCAGGTGAGCAGACCTGCCTGTTCTGCACCACCCCCCCACCCCCACCCCCGGCTCCTTGAGCATGACATGATCTCCCTTAGATTCATAAGATCCACCCACAGGCACAAACAGGAAGTTGGCTGGTATTGTAGGGAGGCACCTAGGGCTCCCTCCCTCCATGGCACCCAAGGCAGCTTGTGATGTCTACAGGTGTCTGAGCTATATTTACAGCCTGAGCACTTGAGCAGCAGAAGTCCAGTGAGTTTTGACCCTTCTCAAACCCATCCACAGTAAAGAAGCTCCCTCACCACGAAGTGTGACAATGAATCTGAGGACAGGGCTGCAGATTTAGCTGGACCTTGCTTGGCCAGGCCCTTCCTGAACTCTGAGGGAGATTTCTTAACATCCAATTGGACATAGGCAGAGTACTTTGCCTCAATCCACTTTTTGGCTGGGTACAGGGACAGTGGCTGCCAGAGCCCTTACATAGGACCCAAGAATCCCTCACTGCTTTTTAGGCTAGGGACTCCTGAAAACATTTTGGGCTCATTTTGATGTGAGGAGTTTAAGACAGGTGTGGAATGGAATGTGTTTCTGTAGGGTGTGGGGCTGGGAGAGCTTTAGCTTCCCTTCCCCCCATCATCCTGGTATGTGCTGTGTGGGGTCTGCTAGAAGGATGGGGCAAAACAGAGAAGTGCGTTTCTATCCCTCTATCCCAGATTCACACAGAGACCTCAAAAAGTTCCCCTGATGGAAACCCCTAAAAGATTTCCTGAGAACAAACCAGGCATTCTGGGGAGAACAGAATGTGGAACCCATGTCTTTATAGGTAGGAATGACCTAGTGGTGTGCATCTGGAAGGCATGGCTGATTTTGTGTTATAGACTCTGGATGAGGCCGAGACCAGCCAGCGGCTGGGAATGATTACTGTGGGATTAGGAGGCCTGGCTCCAGCCAGTCTAGGAGAGATCCCCAAGAAGGGAGGCCCTGGAGGAGCTATACCTCCCCCACTCCCACCCCCAGAGAACAGCTTTGCTCCAGGTCTGTTTCAGGAGACAACTGTAGCCACAGTTTTCACATATAAAAGACCAGAGACCTCAGACCTTTCTATAGGGTCCTAGAAGCCCCCTCTTAGATTGACAGGGAGACCTTGATAAGACAGCCCTACTTCCAGGGAGCGGGGAACCAACCCCAGCCCTTATGAAAGTCTTCTCCTCAGCAGCACCCCCTCCACCAAAACAAAATAATACTGCATTCTCACCATTCTTGCAGGCAAATCCAAAGGGCAAGTAGGACTTCAGGATATCAGAAGAAGTGAGACGAGAAAATGTTATCATTAGGAACATTTCTGACAGGGTCTCTAGGTAACTTTTCCCATCTCCTTCAGGGCTTGTTAAAAATGAAGAATCCTATACCTCTCCTCGAACCTTCAGAATTAGAAATTTCTGTGTGTGTATGAGGATTGGGGCGAGCTGTGCCTAGGTTTTGCTTTTTTAAACATAAGAGAAACGCTGAGAAGGTACAAAGAGGAGGGAGATGGACAAGGGCCAAATAAGAATATGCTGAGCCTGAGTCCACATTGAGAGAGGTCAGAGAGTGGCTCATATCACAGAGGGACAGCTGGTCAGGCAGAGCATAGGCATGTGGCCCAGTGACCCACACCTCTGCCAACGATCACATGGAGATCCTCATGGAAAACAGGGATAAAGAGGCACCATCCTGTCCTCCCCAGGCCAAGAAGCAGTGTAAGGGTGTGTTATGTGTGAAGGCCCTTTAATGCTCCTGCTTCCTTGGGAGGGTACGGGATGGGGGAGGGGACCCATCAACTCTTCAAAATGAGAGAAAAATCCGGTTATAGACTGTAGAGACACCTGGTGGACAAATAAGAAAAAGCACAGAAACAAAGACAATGGAAACATTTTTTTTTTCAATAAAACTAGAAAAGGCTCTACAAAAGTTATAACTGCATCCACTCCAGTGGTCTGAGGCAGCATACTATACAATGTGTCCATGTGGGGGGCACTCTGGGCTCACAGCTTTCTTCCATGGCTCTCTGGCCGAGCTTCCACCTTTTGGACCCTGATATTACAGGGCCAAGCACCTAGGATCCAATGGTAGCAAATGCCACCACATAGCAGGCTCCAGGGCGGGGAGCAGAGGAGCTTGGTACTCATGTCACCCTTTGGCTCTGAAAGCCTAGGTTGGAATTTTGGCAAGAAGTCCCCCATTCCCCTCCAGGTTCAGGGGGCCTGACCCCACTGCTTTGAACTCAACTTGCTCATTCCCAGCATAGGGCCTTTGTATTTGTTACCTTCTACCAGGATCCCTGTTTCTCCATATGTTCACATGGCTCAATAGTAGTTCTTTAGGTCCCAGCTCGAATGTCCTCTGCTCAGAGCCACCATTTCAGACCTTAATCTAAACTAGCCTATAAGCACTGTCGCATTACTGTTTTATATTTAAAATAGCACTTTTTACTATCTAAAATTATGTTTTGTGTTTACTTGTTCATTAGCTTATCTGTCCCTCCACCAGATTGCATGTTCCATGGAAGCAGGGACCTCATATGTCTTGTCAGTGCTGTATTCTCAGGACCTAGAATGAAGCCTGGCACATAGTAGGTTCTCAAATATGTGCTTAATTCTCTCACTACGGGATCCTGCCCTAGGCTAGGCCCCTCAGACTGAGAAGTGCCCACAGCTCAGGACCAGACTGCAGGAAAGAGGCAGCCTAGCCTAGCAGAGGGCCAAGAAAGAGTCTATGCCCCAGCCTGTCCTGTCAAGGCTTACTCCAGTGTCTAGCTCTGCATTGCCTTCACTCTGAAGGCTTAGAGGAATCTGGCTGAAAGCAAGTTTTAGAGTTCTGAGGCACAGCTCCCTTTTTACCAGAAGAGGGCTTTTTGACCACAAGTCCATTGTCATCCTTGATCTTCTTGAGCCGGGCCTTGCTCTTTGGTGGTATGGAGAAGGTGAGAGAGCTCTTGTTGAACTCAAGTGGGAAGACACCTACATCTCCATCAAAGCGGTTCTTGGACACCTGTAGATACCGTTTCCCTGGCCCAGTTACCAGCTTCCTGTCCTGCAGGATCAGAACATTGTCTGCTTCCTGGCTTGCCTGAAGACAGGGGGCAGAGGATGAAGGAACAGTGAGTAGACATATGAGAGAAGCAGAAAAGAAGGTTGAGGATACAGGGAGAAGTGGCAAGAATGAGGAAAGGAAAAAGTACTTCCACAATTCATCAAAGCTCTTTGAACTATTGACCACAATGCTGCAACTCGCTTGAGTTTTTCAGTTCCTTGACAACCTTGCTGCTGTCCCCGATTTTGTACCCACTATTCTCTCTGTTTGTAACACTTCTCCACAGCTTGCCATTCCACTCAACCCCAGCTTTTCATTGAGGCCTTGGTCTAAATGTCACACTGCATCTGACAGACCATTCTTGATCCCCACAAATATAGAAAGCAACACCATCTTTCCATTTCTGTGTTATTCTCTTCCCCAGCTCCATGTTTGTTCCACTGTGGCATAGTTTTTGCTCCTTGCCCTGTATTCTGTGCCTAATCCAGGCCTAGCATGTATAGGCACTCAGTGTACCACTGGAAGCTCCATGATTAGGCTGCTCCTGCTGCCCAGAAGGCCCTCCCATTTATTTGATTATTTAACACTTACTGTTGGCCAAACTCAAACCAACCTTTGCTGACACTTCCTCTAGGAAGTCTCCCCAGATATCCCAGGCTGACTCATATGTCTTTTCTCTTTGTTTCCCAAATATCTGTGCTGCCTATCATAGCTTTTATCATACCAAGTTGTAATCACTGTCTGTTTTTCCACTAGAGGATGTGAGCTCCTGGAAGGTGAGGAGGGCAAAGAACCAACTATTATCAGCCTCTGTATTCTTCATGTTATGGCCTGAGCTGCCTCTTCCTGATGGACAGTCAAGATGATTTAAAGCTGACTGAGGGCTATCTCGAGTGACTGCCCCCCACCTACTTTCCAAAGCTTGGAATCCTCTAAAGGCCACTTACTTTGGCTGAGCCAAAAATGGATGCTGTCTGTAGTTCCTTATCATCATCCTCCTTTCGGGGATGAATGACCAGTGTCACATGGCAACTACTGTCTGTTGCAAACTTCCGAAAGGCCCCAACAATGTAGTCTTGAGCTGCAATCCTGCCCCAACCCCAACAAAGCAAAGAAGTTATCAGACACAGACAAAAGGACAAGAATATACACATACTCTTGATTCATTCACAACTCCACAAAGCACACAACCTCACTCTACTTCCCTCTACCCAAGGACTCACACTTAGGTCCCTGTCCATACTTCCAGCTGCCACATCCCACACATCTATAAAGACAGAAATACACATGGGGTGGGATGTACATGCCCATGTGTCAGAAAACAAGAGAGTACAGTATATATGCCTAGAGGCCAGCTGCCTGAGAAGACATATGTGTGTTCAAATGGGTTCCAGCGAGACAAGAGGATATCACCTGTCTGTGGACAGCTGCTCGTGACCCATCATGAACTGCAGATTGTCGATGACCACATGACAAATGTCATAGACGTAGACCGCATGTTGCATTGTGTCTATTACAGTCCTGGGAAGAGAAAGAGGCAATGAATTCAAGAGTTAATTAGAAGTAGTCTCCAGACCATCCCAGGCAGAAAGCCAGCATCCTGAAAACTCAGTCTCAGTCAGAGGCCTGTTCTCTTGCCCTCCCATTCTTTGAAAAACCCAGGCCTGGGAATATCACCTGATGTTCTGTTGCCCGTGGAAAGTCATGAAATAGAGGGGCAGGTCCTCAAAACGGTCGGCCCACTCATCGTATTTGTCCAGTTGCTCTTCCAGCCGTTCCACAGCGAATTGTGTCAGCATGATCCGGGCTAGTCTCACATTGCTGATCTCAAAGCTACCCCATAGCGTGTTCACCCCCTGGGTACATAAATCCAGGGCATACTCACTGATGAATGTCGTTTTTCCACTGCCCGTTGGCCCTGCAGGGGAGTTGAACACAGACCTGAGTGAGGGAAAAAATTCCTACTCTTGAAACCAAGACATGGAGCAGGGCCTCAAAGTTGGGACGGAAAGCCTCCTTTTCAAAATTTACAGTGGCCGAAATCCACGTGCTTCTATCACCTGATCCTCTGCCCCCACCCCGAGCAGTGATTTCCCAAAGGGTCACCTGTAAAGACTGTCAACTCGCCCTTCCGATGTCCCTTCAAGAGACGACTGAGGTCTGGGAAGCGGCTCCAGCGGACGCCAGCTACCTGCTCCACATTTGACAGTTCTCCTAGTACCTCCTCCCGAAGCTGCCGGAAAGACACAATAGACTTGTGCCAGGCAGGCAGGGCAGAACGTAGAATTCGAGAAAGATTTAGTCCTCGGTTCAGGGCCTCCAGGGGACGGGGCTGCTGGTCCCCAGGCCGTACCAAGGAGCACCGCTTGGGGTTCAGTTTTCGGGCAAACAACTTGGCAGCTTCCCAGGACCGAAGGTCATCCCCCAGCCAAAGCACAATACGTCGGAACTGTTCAAGGTAGGGGAGCAAGGCAGGGGGCAAGCAGGCTATTCCTCGGGGAAGGGCAAGGGTGGGCAGCCCTGTGGATTGGTTCAAGGCCAGGCTGTCCAGCTCACGACTTGTCAGTACCACCTCAACATCTCGACGATTGATCAGTGGTAGTCCGAACAGATTATGGTAGGCACCAGGCCGGGGAACGGTGGTCTCCACATAGTGCACTCCATCCCCTTGGCCTTCAGCCTGTAGGAGCTTCAGGCCTCGTAATCTCAAACTTCCAGGGGAGAACCAAGGGAAGACAAGGCTGCGAGCAGGCCGCAGATACCGCACACTGAAACGCTTGAGTGTGTCATCTGTCACTTTGGTAAGGCCAAACATCACACGGGCCAGCTGGGCCTCCTTCGGCTCAGGCAGCTCCCAGAGAGGTATTGCTCGGTCCCAGATCCTCCGAATCTCCTCACTGTCCTCAGCTTCTGGGACTTCACTAAGCAGAACTCCTTCTCTGTCCCCATCCCTACGCCCCTCCACGCTGGCCTGGAAGTCTTCCCAACTCCCCTCTGCTAGGCTGGTCATGCAGAGAAAGCGGCCTGTGGTCTTGTTAATGAAGAGGCTAAAGGAAGTGGTAGCACTAGTCTGGTCCTTGAGCTGTGAGGCTCCCACAAAGGGGCTCGGTGCCTGGAGGCAGCTGTGGCCATCCTGGAATGGGATCCCATGAGCCCGCAAGTACTGGCGGATTTCAGTTGCAGTTACAGGCAACACTGGTACCTCCAAGGCTGGGAGAGCCTCCTTCCTGTACCTCCTGCGAGGCGGGCCCGGGACCAAGCTCCTGGGCAGGCCCCTCCGACCCATCCACGCCCCACGCAGGGACAACAAGATACGGAGGGGGTACCCACTTCGGAGGAAGACCCACATTCCTAGTCAAATGTTGAAAGTCCCTATTTGAAATACCTTAGGTGCCTGGTTCTAGTGCCTTCACTAGGTCAGACCTTAGGAATCCTCCACACAGCATTCTAAGAGCTCACTCTAGGTGGCTTCTAAACTCTCCAAACTTCTTCATACACATCTCTCTGAATCCTCTTCTGCACCCCCTACGTGGCTACTTCCACCCAAACCAGGCCCATCTATACGACCCTTTCACGTCTCTACCCATCTATCGGGCTCCCTACCTCTCCGATCCTGTTTTACAGTTTCTCCCTTAGCCGACCCACACCGATAAAGTTTCTCAGGATCATCTCTCCACCACTACTGCCCTCCACGGAGTCTCTTCGTCGTCTTCACCTCTACAGCCTTCTGCGTCCTTTCAGTAGTCCCTCTGCTCCAGGTCACCAACTAGTGGCCCTCTTCGCAGCTCCTTCCTTCAAAGGGGACGCGCGCGACACGACTAGAGCGCCACTGTGCGGCTCCCGTCCCTCTCCGCGCCACCTCTCCATCCGCCCGCGTGTCTTTCCCCCGCCCCACTGCCGAGGGCTCCGCCGTTCCGACCCTGGCCACGCGCCACCACTCTTGTCTCACGCCTTTCGCTCGCAACGTGGGTCACTCACACGCGCCACTCTCCAAAACCTCGGAGTCAAAACTTCCCCTAGTTCTGTGTCCCCGGAACCGGAAACCTGGCCTTAGTCCCGCCCCCTCCCCTCGAGGCTGGGCTCCGCGGTGGGGGAGTTGGAGTCATGACGGCGCGGGGGACTCCGAGCCGCTTCTTGACCAGTGTCCTCCACAACGGGCTAGGTCGCTACGTACAGCAGCTGCAGCGTCTCAGCTTCAGCCTCAGCCGTGACGCGCCCTCATCCCGCGGCGCCAGGTGAGCCGGGCGAAAGGTGCGGGGGGTGCGACTCCGGGCAGAGGTCGCCCTGGGTCAGGAGTCACCGCGCTCACCCTTCTCGGGTCCTACAGGGAATTCGTGGAACGGGAGGTGGCCAACTTCGCCCGACGGAACCCAGGGATCGTAATATACGTGAATCCGCGGCCGTGCTGTGTGCCCAGAGTCGTGGCCGAATACCGTGAGTAGGCGGGAGCTGGAGGGTGGCCTCGGGGGTGGCTCGGCCCACTTCCTTCCCCTGGTCTGACACCTGACCGGCCCGCTTCCTCTTATTCCCACCTTCCTTCGGCCAGTTAACGGGGCTGTGCGTGAGGAGAGCATCAACTGCAAGTCGGTCGAGGAGATCACGACTTTGGTGCAGAAGTTGGCGAACCAGTCGGGCTTGGACGTAATCCGCATCCGCAAGCCCTTCCACACAGACAGCCCTAGCATCCAGGGCCAGTGGCACCCCTTCACCAACAAACCAACCACGTGGGGCGGACTGCGCCCCCGAGAGGTCCAGGATCCTGCCCCAGCCCAGGTGCAAGCGCCGTGAAGAGTTGCTCCAACTGCAGTTCCAGTGGAGGTGGTTCTTCCTCTTTTGGTTCAGGGAATTCCAAGCCCAGGCAAACAAATGGAGCCCACGGAAGGGGAATTTGATACCGAGGCTTTTGCTTGGGATAAAGAATCAATGCCTGTTTCTTTTTTGTGCCCACTGCGAGGGTCAGTGATTTTTGTGTCTAATTTTATCCAGTTGACATTATTGAAATCCGAGAGTGTTGCAAGATTTTACAAGGGTCTTCATTTCTGAAATCCAAATTGATAGTAGTGATCTCAGATCACAGTGAGGGATTTTGAGGCCGGTTTCTGAAAAATCCTATTGTCCTTGATGTCCTATTTCTGCAACCATTGAGCTAGAGAGAGCTAGCACTTTATACTCTGCTGTGAGCCTGGCATTGGGCTAGGCACTTTATAGCTGTGTAAATGTTTGTGTACAGATTAGAAAACTGAGGTTAATAAACTTGCCCATGGACACACTTGAGATCTTACTTCAAAATATGTGCATTTTAAAATATAACCCCATTTTTCATTATAAAACCAGAAGCAGAACATACAGTAACCCTTCAGGATGGTTAATATCAAAGACCATATGATTAATCTAGGCCTGACCCTTGGAGAGAGTGAAATGGGCAGCATCTTCTAGGCTTAACCAAAAAAAAAAAAAAAAAGGGGGGGAGGGATGGTGAGGAAAAGAGGAAGTAAAAACCTAGAAACTGTTGTATGAATTCTTGAATTGTTGTAGTGCTCTTATCCCCATGATCAGTGAATAGTGAGAGCCTTAATAAAGGCCTGTGTACCCTTTATTATTGCCCAGGGCAACCCGTATAGAAGCTGAGGATCCCAATTTCCTCTACAAATGGTTTTCATGGGGAGCAGAGCCAACCCTGCGGCACCTTTACCATAGGCACAGAAGCCTGTCCCCTGGTAATCGGGAGGGCCAGTTGAGACCAAGCAGACCACTCAGCTGTGGGGAAAAGAGGGTATTTATTAACCAACAGGGTGGGGGAGCTGAGCCCACGCTCCCCACTCTGTCACATGCCTGTTCCACCCACCTGAGTGGTGAGTGGGGGCATTCCTAAAGAAATGTAGCTGTTCTCACAATAAATACATTCATTGTGGAGTGGAGGTGGGAGAGGATGGGTAAAGGGCAGTAAAAATCCGTGAGATTCCACGTTCTCAGCTACAAAAATAACAGTCATCCTCACCCAAGGGGAATGGGGGAGCTCAGTCAGGATTTGATTGTCCCATATGGGCCTGGAGACTTCAGAGGCCCCTAGACCCTGAAAGTGCCCCGGTGAGGTAGGACAGGGGTGGGAGCCAAGCATCCAAACTCCCAGCCTCTGCCCTTTGCATAGTTCCAAGAACGGGCTTCATGTGCCAGGTGAGACATCAGATCTCTCCTTCCCCTGCTCTGGTCTAGGGGTAGCAAATGCTTGGTCCCTAAAAGGAATGCTGGCTCATTGAGTGCAGTGTCGGTCACCCATTCTAGGGAAGTGTCTTCAAAGATAGCTAAATGGAAGAGGGCTCTCCTGAAATGTCAAAAGACCAAACTCAACAGACAGGGGAGGCCCAGAAGGTGCATGTGAGTGGAAATGTAAGCACATGTGTGTGAGGAAGGGACATGCCTGGAACTCTGCCACTCTTAAGAGTGACCAAGGTGGGGTGAGGGAGCTGACTCAAGCACATTAAGGGAGAAGAGGGGAATGAAAGTCTTACCTCTTTAGGCTCTTGCCAATGAGGTCACCACATGGGGCTAGGACTAGGACTAGGGAAGAGGACTGGATAGGATGGGATGTGGCAATTGGGAGGGTACCCAAAGTCCAGAAAAAGGGATTAAACAGCAATGTACCAGAAGGTGAGGGTAGGGGCCCTGCAGCCCAGCTGATAGACATTCTTCCATGTGCACATCTGAATGTATGCAGGGCTCAGGATGCTCTGGTAGCTGACAGAGGTCTTATCTGGTATCAGTACCATCCAGCACATAGGGCCATGCAGAGGATGGTGACATTGAGGCCCTCTGGACCTGTAGAGCCCTGCCTGGGAGAAAGAAGAAGGGTTTGAGCAGATGAATGCAGCATGAGGATGGAGTCCTCTCTTCCTGAGTGCTTAGGTTAAGGGCACAGGAACTGGGGCTGCAGAACCTGAGGGAGCACCTACCTCTGAGGAGCACCGGTTGGCCTGGGCTGCTCACAGATGGATCTGTGGAGATGAGGAGGGGGCTTTGGCTGGGCCTAACTCTGGCCAGCCGTACAGGGACATCAAAAAGTTGGGAGAAGGGCCTGGAGTTAGGGGGCAGTGAAGGTAAGGTGACTGTGTTGGGGAGGCAGCAGCCCATCCTGGGGCAAGACAGGCTGGCTTGGAAGAGCATTCGTCCTGGGAGGCTGGGCTCAGACAGAGCTCTCATCCAGGTGCTCTACGAGCTGCGTGTGCTTCCTCTTCTCCAGGATGCGGCTGAGCTCCTCAGCGAAGGAGCAGGGCCCTGCCGGCACTCCGTTGTTGCTCTGCCTCAGGAGCACATAGCTGTTGCCATTCATCCTGCGCAGCCGGCTGGGCAGTGCCACAAGCCCATTGGTCAGCTCAGCTGGTGGCAGTGGGGGTGGTGGAGGTGGTGGGGCTGGGGCTCCTTCTCCAGGGATGATCTGGAGACAGCCACCCTCCAGGCCTCCTGCCCCTTCCCCATCATCACCCTCATCTTCCTCTCCAGGGCACTGGCCTGAGACTGTCTGTAGCTGCACAGCAGAGCCCCCTGCCCTGCTGGCCCGACCCAGCGAGTATTTCCGTCGGTGTCCTCGTCTGCCTCCCCGAAGACAGGCCACGTAGAGGAGGGAAGAAGCCAGGATGAGGCAGAGACCACCAAGTACAGCAATGGCTAGCAGATAGAGCAGCCTCACATCAGGTGCCAGTTGTGCTCCTGGCATGGCAGGGGCTTGTGGAGCCGGGGCAGGAGTGGCTGGCCGCACGGTGAGGCTGTAGGAGGCCAGCAGGGTGCGGAGGCCATTCTCCTCAGCATAGCAGCCATAGTTGCCACTGTGCTCGGGCTGTGTGTCTGTCACCAGCAGCCCATCTACACCCACACGGTAGCCATTCTGCCCATCACTCAGGCCCATGCTTCCATTGAGCAGCCACAATGCCCGAGCCAGGTTGGATGGCTGGTCACAGGGCAGGAGGACGTCATCACCCCGGAGCACAGAGCGGGTCTTCGTTGGTGGTGGTGGCCCTGGAGGGAGTGGAAGATAGGAGCAGTCAATGCCCGCCTATCCCAGGAAGGGCACTAGAGGTGGCAAGCCAGATGGTTCACTGTTATGTCTCCAGCACCAAGCGCAGAATCTGGAATCGTGGAGATACCCAGCCAAGCTCTCTGCACTTATGCTTGCACAGGAGGTTCAAGTTGGCCTTTCCCTGTGGTTTCGATTCCTGACGTCTGCCAGTGATGCCTAATCTCTACCTCCAGCACAGTGTTCTCTCTTGAATGTCAGAATTGAATATCTTCTACATGCTGGACATCAGTATGAGGTCTCTTGGACATGTCACAGGAACTATGGCCAAAGCTCCCTCCCAAACTACGCCAGGTCTTTTCTTTGAATTGTCATCACCGTGAACGGTGCCACCAGCTCCTCAGTTGCTTAAGTCAGAAACCTGGGAGTTTCCCTGCCTCTCTCTCCGCCTCACCTTTGTATCTAACCCTCTTGGGCCAACCAAGATTATGCTTTTGGAATCTATCTCAGACCTGTTCGCTTCTCTCCTCCAGCTGCTGGCCCACTCTGGTCCCCATCTAATCCATTCTCCATGCAGCAATGGGGTGACCTTTTACAAACACTCAGCTGATCAAGCCACTACCCTACATTAGCACTGTCCCTGCCCACTTCTCCAGCCTCTTGTTGCTCAAACATGCCAAGCTTGCTCTGCCTGCTATTCCCTCTACTTGGGTGTCATCCTTCTCCCCATGTCCTCCACTTGCTCAGTTAACTCGGGGGAAGAGAACATAGCAGTGATCAAAAGCACCAACTCCAGTCCAACTGCTTGGAAGCACATTTGAATTCTGACCCTGCTGCTTAACAGCTGATTAAATTTGGGCAGTTTACTTATTCTACCTGTGCCTCAGAGAGGTTGCCCCTCATGGGGATGATGATAATGGTACCTCTCTCATAGGAATGCTGTGAGAATAAATGAAAGTGCATGTGAGTGTTTGATCAGTGTCTGGCACATAGAAAGCACTCAGTACATATTAGCTATGATTTTTAACTTTTGTTCTTCCTTCAGATATCAGTGCAGTCATCTGTTCTTCCTTGGGGTAGTACTCATTATCCTTCAAACTACCGTCATAGTTATAATGATTCTTTTTGCAACAAAAACCAGTAGAAATGATTATAATTAATTGTGTGATCATGTGATTGCCAGTGCTGCCCCCTGGCACACACACTTGGCTTTAAGCCCCAGAAGTGACAAGAAACTTCACATTTCGAACCTGTTTCCTCATTTGTAATTCTTTTGGGAAACAAATGTTTGCTGAACACTTACTCTATGCCAGACTCTGAAAGTGCACAGACATAGCCATTCAGATACATACATATGTATACAAATGCAGCCAGACCCACATACACATGAATATCACTTACTTGTGTCCCTGTTGCTCTCACAGCCTCTATTTCCTCTCTCTATGTCCTGTATCAGTGCTGTCCTGGAGACAGAAGAGCAGAACTCATGAACAAGAGAAAATGGGCTTCAGTTTCCTCAGTGGAATCGTCAACAGGGCGGTTACCAACAACCGGCTGTCACTCCTCCTACAGCTGGGTAGGCCATCCTCCTCTCCTCAGGCCCTGATCCCCTGGGCACATGGGACCCTCACACCCCCTACCACCTCCTGCTTGCTACCCTGGGACCTGTTGGCTATGGTGGTCTCCATGCAGGCATGGGTGCTGGGGTCCCAGCCACAGTAGGGGTCCCGGGCCAGGATGCAGTCATAGCAGGAGCGGTAGCGGGAGCAGCTGGACAGTGGTAGCTGGATGACTCCACTAGAGGCCCCTATGTAGAGGCTATGCTGGGAGCCAGAGAGGACAGCCGATTAGCAATACCCTCACTCCCACTTATAGACACACATACAGCCACTTCCCAGCCTCCTCATTCCCCCGCCCCGCATCATTCCAAAAGGCCATATTGAGGGTCATGAGTTAGGGGCTACCTGCATAGGAGAGATAACCAGATTCTCCACAGACTGGGGCTCCTTGAACACTTGTGTCTCTTCAATAATGTGCATTCCAGAGCCCAGGACCACAGCCTTGTGGATCCAGCCATCAGCTGGTATAGAAAAGGCAGAGGGTCAGACTCCAGCAATGAAAAACTGCTCTTGGCCCCCTGCAATAGTCTAATGGGACCAGCTTGGGAGTCATAAGGTCAGGGACAGGATTCAGCCAGTAGTAGTGGGCCCTCAGGACATTGGGAACTCTGGGCTTATCATGGCAGGAATTATTGGGTTCAAAAGCATCGTGATTGAGGTCAAATGTCACTAGTTGGTGACAGGAGTCAGCAGTCACCAAGAACCAGTGGTCACCAGTGTTTTGTGATCAAGGGTCAACCAGGGGCTAGAGGTCAACAGGGATCAAGGACAGGTCAGCAGTCACCAGAGGGCTCAGGTTAGGGGTCAGAAGCACCTGTGCCCAGAAAGAGCAGGTCATAGGTGGGTCCAGCAGGCGTGGTGACAGGTGTCCCTGTAAGGTGTGTATAGCGCACACTACGCTTGAGCAGCAGGGGTCTTCCACGCGTGGGTACCACGGGCCGAGCCATCAGTGGGTGCAACTTCACAAAGTCCAGGACCAGCGATGGCAAGTCCTGGGATGAGTTGTAGCCTTGGCTGCGCAACAAATCTGTGATGCACTGGGGTGGGAGACGGGGTGGTGAACCTCAGGACTACTATCCCTCCCAAGGGTTCTGTCTTCCTGCCTGTCCTCCCTATAAGGCCAGACCCTCCTGCTCCTTCCAGGGTTTCTGCCTACTCAGCACTGGCCCCAGGCCTGGGTACTCACTGAGCCAGGTCGGGGCTCTGGCACCCTGCCCTCATAGCGGCCCCAGCGCCGAGCACCATCCTGGTATTCCATGTAGGGACCTGCAAAGATAGTCTGCACCTCGGTCAGGTCGTAGCGGCAGATGGCTGAGGCCTCCAGGGTCTTCCTAGAGATAAGACATAGGAAAGAGGGCTGAGTTACACTGAGTGGAGCCTGCTTCCCTGCCACTTTCCCAGCCTTGAGCCCACTGTTGCTCTGGTCAATGCCAGCTCCAGGCCCACAGGGCCTCTGGTCCCAAGCTAGCTGGATGTGCCTGAAATTCTCTCTGCAGCTAGCCCTCCCAACAATGGATCCTATCTCATCCTCAGTGACCTCTGCTACAGCTCCTATGCTATCCCTAGTTCCTTGCCTCCCCAGTATCCCTGCACTGACCACTGTGTGGTCAGCGTGAAGGCCGCATAGAAATGCGTGCGAGCTGATGTGTCAGCGTCCAGGCTGCAGACACCACGTAGTGTCTCATATTGTGGAATGTGGCAGATGAGACGCGCCTTTAAGAAGGAGGTCCACTTCTTCTGCAGGATCTTCCTCCCTCCTAGGTCACCCTAGGGAGGTAGGGGCATGGGATCAGAGGCCAGGGTCAGAAGTTCAGCCGCTATACCCTTGCCCCAATCTCAGTCCTATTCACCTTGCACACACGGGCCACACGGGCCACACGGTGGCTGCTGCGGCTCTGAGCAAAGCTGCCAGAGCCCTCCTCAGTGGCACGCTCCGTGAAGAAGTAGTAAATCTTGTCATCATCGCCCACTGCACTGGCCTTGCTCTCCCGTACCAGGATAGAGAATATAAACTCGGCATCTGCAGGTGAGGCAGTTCAGGTGGCTTCTGAGACAGGTCGGAGGTCTCTCTCCCAATCCCCCACCCCTCACTCAATGATACAAAGGAATAGGCAGGCTCACCTGGGGATTTGGGGATAGGATGGTCAACTGCCCAAGGGAGTAAAGATGAAGAAATAGTCCCCTGCCCCCCATCATCCTGTGCCTCATCCTCCTAACCATTGAGCCAGTGCATGGGTGCCTCCTCAGTCCTCAGGGAGTGAGGGTGGCGGCTTCGGCGGATGTCAGGTATGCTCCGGAATTCATATCGTGTTGCTGTGTAGAGGCCTCCATCTGGGGCAGGGACATGCCAGACATGAGACATGTCACATACGACAAGGCACATAACACACATGGGTGGCAAGTCCTAGCAAGGATGCTTGTGGATGAGAGACTAGGGTGGGGAGAAGGGCACACTCACCAATAATGAGTCCTGTGAAGCCACGGGCTGGGTCGTAAGGACACTTCTCCTTCCCCTCCTCAAAGTTGGTTGGCAAGGTGAAGGCCTCAGCATCCTGGGGGAATGAGAGTCCAGAAGTCAGTGGTTCCCAGGACAGGCAGGGGTAGAGGCCTAAGGTCAGACCAGTTTGGAGTCAGGGACCAGCGATTAGGGCTGAGGCAGGCATACTCACAATAGCTGCACAGAGGGGCTGGAAAGCATGAGTCCCGCATGCATAGAGGTGGGTGGCATTGAACCGCTGTAGGAATCGCACATGGTTGAAACACTCAGTCTGTGGGATAGGTGGGGGAGGGTTAGGAGCCCCAGGTCTCCTTAGAAGCTTCTTCCAGTAGTCCAGCTTTGTAGTCTGGTTCTTATCCCCACCCACAGGACACAGGTCTTTCCAAGATCCCAGTGGGCCTTCTTACTGCCCGGAACACAGAATATTCTCTAGAATTCACTGTCTTTTAGCCTCCTAGTGGCATAACTCTTCTGTCTCTTGGATTACTTGATATACTCTGCCAGCTTCTCCTGTATCTCCTGTACCCACAGTTCAGGGGCTCCCAGGTTCTCACCATACTAAGATGCTTCTCTCACATCTCCTTCTTAGCAATGTCCATCAGTCTTGGAGCTCCTATAGCCCCCTTTGGAGTGACACTACCGAATCCATCCCCAGGCTCCAGCCCTCTCTCTACCTGATATCCCACAGACACATCAAACTCATCCATGTCAGAAAGCAAGTTCATCCCCTCCTCCCTAACTGCATCTTCCCTCCTAAACCTGTTCTTCTAGTCTTTCCCATCTCTCTTCATCTGTTTCCTATTACTCAGTCTAGAAACCAGGAGTCATCTTTGCTGCTTCCCATCTCTTCACCCCTACATTCAGTCCTGTTCCCTGATTAAGTGTTTGTCCTAAATGTCTCCTGACTTGGCCTACTTCCCCTCCACTGCCTCCACTTGAGTCCAGATTACCACCTGACAGCTCTCTCAATTCTCTGCCACTCTTCATAAAAATGACTTATTTACTCAATGAATGAGGAATACGTGCACACAGTGTAAAATTCAAAAGGTACAAAGGGATATGTTGTAAACAGAGTCTCCTTTTTATCTCTGTTGTCTTCAAAGGAAACTGCTGTTACCATTGTCTGAAGTTTCCTTCCAGAGAGATCCTACCAAATGGCACACACTTGCAACCCACTTTCCAAGGCATATTTTAAAAAATGTAAACCAGATCATGTCACTGCTGTATTTAAAAAATCCCTTCGGTGGTTCACCAGAGTCCTGAACATGGAGTTCTACATGCTCCCAACCCTGCATGATCGTGCCTTGCCCCTTCCTCTGGCCTCATTCACCCTACTCCAGACACACTGGCCTTCTCTACCCATCAAATGCCTTGAGCTGTCACTCTCTTGACTTCTTTGCCTTGTTGATGATTCCTCCTCCTGCCTGTTACTCAGGGTTTGGATCCATGCAGGCCTCTTTGTTTCATCTCGCTCCCTTGCTGAGTGCAGTGTTTGTCATCCATCCATCCTCTCTACCAGCCTACTCAGGCCTCCCTCCTTTGACCCACGCAATGTCCCCAACCTCCCCACTGCCTTTCCTGCCTCCATTTTAATCCATCTAGTCCCTGGAGCTGAATAAATATTCCTATAGTAGTGTTTCCCCAAGATGTTTACATTTAATAATGGGGAGAGGAGGGAGGAAATCTGTGGTGAAATAAGTTGGAAACCATGGGTAAAACCTACCTTTACTGAGGACTTCTGAGAGCCTTAAGGGATTGCTGTGCATTGTGGGATGGAGCGTGCAGCATTTCCCAAACTCATCTGATCATTAAACTCTTTTTACTGAAAATTAATGCTCCTCAGAACAAGCTTTGGGAAATGTTCTCTCCACCCAAAGTGAGGTCCAGGGACCAGCAGTGTCAGCTTAACCTGGGAGCTTATTAGAATTGCAGAATCTTGGGCCCTTCCCAGACCTACTGAATTAGCATCTGCATTTATAATATACCCCTGTGATTCATGTGCACATTGAAGTTTGAGAGTCTCTAAAGTAGACTCTCAGTGGTGAGGATACTCACTGTCATAGAATAAAATCCAAACCCCCTGCTGGGCATTTACAGCCCTCCATGACCTGGGCTCCACCTACCTTACCAGTCCCATTTTCTACCCACACTACACCAAGAAGCGGCCTTTGATAGAAGCTCCTAGAGGCATCTCTTTAAACACAGCTGTCCCAGCACCACTCTTGACTCACTGAATCAGAATCCTTGGGCTGGTGGACCTTGAGAATATGTATTTTTAAAAAGCTGTCCAGATGGCTCTGTTACATAGCCAGACATGGGACCCCTGAAGACACTTGTTCTTTAGCTAGCAAGGGCTTCACCAATACCCCTCCATGGGATACTGAATTCCTGAACTATTCCTTGACCAAAGCTTCATTTTTTCTCATCTCTAAAATGGAGGATAATACCATTTCATACGGTTATTTTAGAATTAGGTGATAATAGCTAAGTCAACACTTACTAGAGATTACTTATTGTTATCATGATTATTATTGGGGAGCCCAGAGGAGATTAAGATGCCATCGCAGATCTATTTATTAGGCCACCAGATGTTTGGATTAGAAGTGCTGCACTGGGGCTTGTTTATTATGGTTGCTGCAACTGACTCGCTGATAATTAACTCTCCATTTGTGTTCCCACCAACCCTGACATCTCCAATTGAGGAAGAGGAAAGGAGCTGGGGACAGGGCAGACCACGTACCTGATTGTTTTTGCCTTTTTGATGACATTTGCTTTGCATCTCTGGGGAGGCCTCCCAGTGGATCTGGAGAGGGGGAAATGGTAGAAAGGCTGATGCACTGACCCCAATACCCTTGCCTTTCCTCATTATCTGTGTGACCAGGTGATGGGACCCCAGGGGAGTGGGGAAATTGGGTTGGGGGTAGGTTTCAGGAGGAGCTTTGAGAGTAAGGGAGACCTGGGTCGGGAAGGGCAGCATTGTCTGACCAGGGGGCTCTGGAATGCTGGCAGCATTTCTAGAAAGTTGAGGTCCCAGGGAGCTGGATGAAGCTGGAGACCCTCCGAGTGGTCCAAGTGCCAGGGGCTGACCTCTTTGTGAGCCCCATCTCCTATGTCGTGGGCACTGAGAGAGAATAGAGCACCTCGGGCTCCCACCAGCAGCCTTGCTGAGGCCTCCTCCAGCAGCAGTGTTGAGTAGTTCTGGGCTGGGCCCTTGAAGTGCCGGGTCCCAGAGAGCTCTGGGGAGAGTGGGAGCTGTGAGCCCAGCTCTGGGGCTGCCTCCCAACCCCCTGCCCCGGCTTCTGCTGCCTTTTGAGGTTGGGGAGGACATCTAACCTTCATAGGGGATGGTCATCCGTGGAGTGGCATCTAGTTCTCTAGATGGTCTCCGCAGGGATGGTCCAGGGACCGCAGTTGCTGTGAGGAAGCTCATTAGGAGGGGCCAGAGCCTCCCCCACATCTTCCTGGGGAGGCCCAGACCAACGAGACTCTCAAGGAGAGCCAGGGCCAGTCAAGGAGATGATGGGAAGAATAGTCACAGGGGTCAAGGTCCTGGGGGGTCACTTGGAAAGTCAGGCGTCATGGGGCCAAGGAGGGTCCTGGAATTGGGGAGACATGGAATCACAGGATTGTGTGGCCATGGAATCCTCGGTAAGAGGTCAGAGGAATGGATGGATCACACGCTGTCTGTCTGCATCAAATACAAACTCCATGGTGAGAGGGAGTTGTGGGGTCATGGAGGGGTTGTAAGTCACTGATGGAGTCACCCTGCTCCGACAACAGAGCTAGTCCTGGTTCTCTGAGGTCCAGTTTCTGAAGAAAAAACAGGAAAAAAAGCCCTTTGATCTATGTGTGGGTGGAAGGTAGATGACATTACCCCTAGACTTCAGGGGGTACTGAAGGAAGAAGGCCCAGCATTCACAGAACTCCCTCCCATGTTAGGATCGACTCACAGTCATTCTGATGCAGGAAGTTGCGTGGTGGAATTTGCCCTTTACAGGTCCTAGACTTCCCCTAACCCAAACCCAAGGGAATAGCTCTCCTTCGACCAAGTCAGAAGCTTAGCTACGCCTCTATCTTGGTGGAGCTCAGGTTCTCAGGGAGACTGCCTTCAGACCCAAAATGGGCAGCAGCTGGCCTTGCTGCCTGCAGGGGTGCCTTATGCAGGAAGGCCTAAGCAGAGTTGTTTAATGGGCCTTTGTTTATTTTATCCAGTTTTCCCTTTGTTTTTTCTTTTCCCTGGCCTGAGAGCTCCCTCTGGAATTTCTCTTTGATTAGACACTTCTTGGCATTCCTCTCTGAGAGGGTGCACATCTCCGCCCTGCCCATTCGAGTCTGTACTGCATCCTTTGGCTAGGCATCTACACGTGCCCTTACCTGCAAACAGGCATTCACAGGCATTGCGGCGGGGAGGGGTCTAGATTCACTGGCTGCATGGGTGTAATGTTTGTGCAGGAGGCTATAATGTGCAAACCCAGTTAATTGAGACATGAACAATGTGGAAAAGGTGAATGATGGGATCCCTGAGCTCTTGGCCACCTCCCCTGGCATATATTGGAGACTATTCCCACACCTGGCCCTCCCTCAAGCCAACTCAGGATGTGGTACATGGCACAGAGATCGGGGTTACACTGAACTCTATAACAGGCCTGATATCTGGGGTGGCCCCTGAAGGTTTCCTGAGCTGGGCTAGGCGTGAAGGAAGCCTGACCCACCCAATCTCATTTAGATGCCCACAGACTGGGCCAGGGGTGTCACTGGCCTCTCCCCTCCCTTCTAGGTCAAATATTAACTATGTGGCCTTGAAGAGAGGGGAGGGACTAGGAGCTGGCCAGAGGGAGAACAGGAATTTGGAGCATTTATTTAAGAGGTAAAGGTCACCACTGTAGTGGGCAGAGCCCAGAGTGGGAGAATAGAGTATGAGTAGAGAGAAAAGGGTCCCTAGACCACAGAAAGGGCATCAGCTACTGGTTTAGAGGCTGGGGCAGTAGGAGGCCCCAGGCAAACTGCCCATACTCCACCCCTCACTGTGGAGGCACACCTGTTTACCTTTTGGGCCTCCTATTTGCTTAGTGCAGAAGGGTTGAGGAGCCAGATAGCTATGAGAGATCAGTCCTTAGGATTGGGCAGGGGGAACACACCCCAGGTCAGAGGAACCACTCAGAGTGTGGTACATGGCACACTTACACAGGTTTACACAAGAGTCACATGTGTCCACTGGAGGGTGATAAGCATGCATACTCGTACACACATATATTCACAAGGGGGCTGTGAACACATGTATTCACAGGAAAGTCATGCACATGCACATTCACAGTGAGGTTTGTGCACACATGTCCACATAAAGGGCCCGCAACATGTGTTCATATATATTCACCTGTAAGGTTGTATTCACAAGTCCATTCATTCATCAGGTCACATGGCCTCAGAGGTTAACAAGGAGGGTTAAAAACCTACACATGTGCATATGAAGGATTGTACACCTATTCACAGGAGGGTCCTGTACATACACACGTATGTGGAAGGACGTGGACACAAACTCATTGATACAGTGGGTCAGCTATCATCATGTTCACAGAAGGGTCCAGTACATGTGTTCACACAGTCCTCAAACACACAATTACATCTACGTAGAGACAAGCATATGTACATACAGGGGGCTAGCTCTCACTGCAAGCTCGGAGACTGCCAGTGTCCACTGAAGGTGAGATGCAGAGCAGAACACTGCCTCCCTTCTTAAATGTCCCACTTCTAAGGCCAGATACCAAGTGTATGTCTCTGTGTGTGTGTGAGATGGGGGGAGGCTTCTGACTTCAGATGCTCAAATGGGATAGGTGCATAGGCCAAGTCTGCTCTGCAAGGGAAGGAGGGGTACCTAACAAAGGGGAGGAGGCCCCTAGTTTTAACGAAGGAAAGATGAATGGAGCGCCTAACTTAGCACTCCTCTACACTCAAGTATATAGCAGTTCTAGATAGAGTTGGGCTCGAGTTCTCAGCCCCTATTTAACCTGTTGGGAGAGAGGGCGGGGCTAAACGGGGGGGCGGAGCTCCTCCCCCCCACCCCCCCACACCAGTGCCAACAAGGCTTCAAGGTCTCCAGTCCACACCTCACACTCCACCCACAGTTCCACAGTTTGGGTTCCTCCCCAGGGCCGGCCCCCTGAACTCTGATCACCTTCCCCCTAAGCAGATCCCAGGGCAGAGGGAACTGAAGAGGGGAGGACCCCTCCCCCCAAACAAGATCAATGTAGGATCAGCAGGCTCTCGACCTTCATCCCAGATGTCCACCTGCTTAGTGCAGGCGGTATCTCCTTCTGCCTAATAGAATGGTGGTCTCTCCGGAGAGCCCCTCCCCCGCTACCTCCTTTCTCCACCATCTTTCCAGTTCAATCCTTTCCTCAGGTCTAACCTCAAGTCTCTACTGCTGCAGCTTGAGGACAAGCTCTCCTTCGATCCCGCCAGACACCAGAAGACATGACCCAGATCCCGGGGTACAGTGTTCATCACGCGGGCCCCGTTCCGCTCGGGTCCCTGACTCCGCGGTGGCGGGGCTGCGCCCAGTGCGGCCCGAGGCCTGGCCTGCGCCCCTCTAGAGCCTTTATGCGGGACTGGGGGACTTAGCAATGAGAAAGGCCTGGTCCAGCTTGGAGGGTAGAATGGACATGTGAAAGGCCTGGCCTGGTCCCTGCCCCCTGGCGCGGGTGCCACCGCCGCCCGCACTCCCTGCCTCTCACCTTTGCGCTCGGATCCCTGGCCATAGAGACAGCGACGCGCAGCTCAGCAGCCCCAAAGAACCAGCTGCGCGAAGGGGCCGCGGCCGGAGGTGGGGCGGGGTGGAGGCGGGGCCGGAGGTGGGGCGGGGGCTCGGAAGGCGGGACCAGGAGGCGGGCGCGACAGGGTGGGGTGGCCGGAAGGGCACAGTTCTTCTTTCGCGCCCCCCACTCTATACAATAGAGACATTTAAAGCCAAGGATCACACATAACCGTCCGGCAACTGGCGTGCCCTGTCCCCAACGGCCACGGCCCCGGGATCGTGTCTTGGTGTTGGCCTCACCTCCCCGAGTTCCCTCTGCGGCTTATAGCCCATCTTCTCTCCCCTCTAGCCCTGATGCCTCTGACTTCCCTACTGCTAGGGTCGTGCAAGCTTGTCCTCTGGGAGCTTAAAAATTCTCCGAGGGCCCGTCCTCACTTCTTGCCCCCCGGCTACCCCTCTTCCGCTGACTAGGATGCGGGGGTAGTGGGAAACAGTGTGTGGAGACCAAGCGTTGGGGCAGCTTTGAACACAGAACAGGGTCTTCATTCGGAGGTCAAGGGCCTCCTTCATATGGTCCTGCAGCCTGAGGTGTGGGTGGGTGAAGGGAGTCAGGTTTAGAGGGATGACATTACAGTTTGACCAGAAGTGCACACAGAAAATGTTTTTCTGGATAAATAGCCACAACCATTTGCACCTGGTCCACTCAATCAAAACTTAGACGTAACCCTCTTCAGAGACTGGGTCACTCAGACATTTGCCTTCCTTCCAGCTCATCTTGGACATCAATGTTACTCCAGATCCTTCAGTGCACTCCTCCTAGTCAACAAAATATCCTGCCCTTCCTGGGCTCAATCATATTATCAGCTATCTAGGAAGCACCACCAGAATCAACCTCCCAACTAGGCTGGTCTTCCCATGCAATCTTTGGACCTATAGTTTCACCTCAACTCAGGCTATGCCTCCTTCCCATCCCTTATTAAAGACCCCTCTAGGGTTTGACCCAAACCCCAGCTCTACCCATGACCTGGCCTAATCTCTCATATCCATGACAGTATTGCTATGGGCCCAAGAGCAGGACCAAAACGATGAGGGCCACAGGAACATAGGTAAGTGACTCTTCCATGTGCCTAGGAGCCTATGCTCTGGAGAGATAGAGAGTAGGGGAACAAGCAAATGAACACTGGCCTGAGAGAGTTTGAACAAGATTCAAGTGGCTCTATCATTATTTAACTGAAGATGCCTTGGGAAAGACAGATCATCCTTCTTTTCTGAATTCCTCAAAGCTCAGTTTGGCACTTCATCATATACAATCTCGTAGTTTGGGCTGCTGTGTGTGACAGCAGACTGCTAGACAGCAGGGCCCACATCGCACTTCTACCTCCCCCAGCATTCTGCAAATAGGATGTGTATGTGGAGGGGAGGTAGCTGGGGAGAAATGCTTAAAGTGTACATACACATTTGCAGAATGCTCAGCTTCATTTTTTAAAATTGTAACCTCATTCTGAGGCACTAACAGCCTCATTTTATAGATGGGAAAACAGACTCTAAGAGGTTAAATAATTTGCCTTGAAATTATTCTTGTGTTTACAGAGAGGACAATCAGGACTAGAAAAGCCTGAGAAGAGGCAAGCAGGGTAAGCCCAAAGGGGTGTTAGTAGAGCAAAGGTGAAAACATACAGGTTTGCGTTGGGAGAGTAGGCAGAGAGAAAGGGCATGAGAAGGATGAATTTGATTTGATGAGATGGAACAGATCCTAGTGAGAAATAGAAACGTTAGTAAGTAGTTTGGACAAGACCACACAAGAAAATCCTGAAAGCTGATGAATTGGTAAGGAAGTCTAATCTGGGAAGACTGAGAAAGGCATGGCTAAAAAAATTTAATGTGCAGTCCTTGTGGCAAAGTGGGTTGGGGGTGACAGTGGAGGATGGGCAGGAAGACTATTAGACCTAAAGTATCAGATAGGAGAGAAGTTAAATTGCAGGGGGGACCAGTGGGCAAAGGGACAGAGAGTTCTTCATGTTCTCACAGAACTCACAGTGCTGACTTTGGATACCACTGGAGGTGGCAAGTAGGCCAAAGTGATTTGGTGGTAGGTTCAGCATCCTACTCACCTACACTCTACGAGGCAAGCCTTTCTCTTCTAAGGTACTTTGACGGCAGACTCAGAGGTCATACATTTTCAAATGAATAAAATATGTAACTCACGATGCTGAGTTCCAGTATGGCACTTGCTAAACTGTAATGGGCAGTTACTTCAGTACCTCTGATATGTAGATTCTGACCACATTTCTCTCTACTGTTCTCCCACTTCAATCTCTGAACCTAAAAAAATGATCAGATGTGATGGCAATTAATGGAACTTTCTAAGGAAGGCCCTTTGGTATTTTTTTGTAAATCAAGCTGATAAAATATGAATAAAATATACTGACAGTGGAAGGGACTTGAAATCAAACTAAGAAATTAATCCTTAGCCATGAATTTGTGTCCTGGGACACAGGCAGATCCTTCTTCGAGGTTGCTACTCATCCTTAAAATCACTACCTCGGCTGCTTCACAGGGTTGCTATGAGAGGATCCCATTTGAAAACCTTCTGGTGTACTTCACAAACAGAACACAAATGGAGGTTTTGTTTTTGCCAGGCTATTTTCCCCAAATGTTGTAGCAAAGTGGCTGAGGGCAATGCTGGTTGTCCTCAGCCATCTACACACCAGCGTTTGGCTCCAGGCTTTGCACAGAGCAGTTACCTACTGTAGTAGGGATCCTAGGTGAAGGGGGTAGGCATGAACTCCTGAAACTTGAGCAGAGGTTCCCTGAGGCAAAAGAACTCTGGTCTAGTCAAGTTGTCCTGCTTCCTGTTCACTGAGGCATTTCTGTTCCTGCTTTGCCATCTCCACCTCTGGTTTGCCCAGCACTCTCCCTTTAGGTGGTATCATCTTTATTTTGGCCACATTAACAGCTGAAGTGCTTCTTCAGTAGGGACTGACAACAATGCTGTAGTCTCACTGTTCCACTGTGCCTCAGAAGCCTGTTTTGCCTGTTAAGTTTTCCTCCCAGCCAGTCGTCTTGGTATCAGACCCAAAGCTGGGCCTTCTGGTTTGCCCTCTCTTGACTGCAGCCTAGGGAATGGTTAGCAAGGAAAAGGGTGTGTTAGGATATGTCCACAAATGTTGGAAAATCACCACCCACCACCCCTTTCTCAGCTTTAGCATGCTTTTTTTTTTTTTTTTTAAAGCCACCAACTTATTTTACCAGCAGACAAGAGCTGGACAGAGAAGCCTCTGGTGCTGTTGGAATAAAGCACACATACACTACAATTTTAGGAGACAGTTTGCTCAGGTATCAGTGAACTCCAAATGCCTTAAGATCAATTTTAATTGTCATCTGAGAAGAGCCTCAAATTAGAGCTAAATAACAGCTAGCATTTGGAGTTCTATATGCCAGGCACTTGCTAAGCATTTTTCATGCATTAGCTCATTTAGTCCTCACAAACTCAAGTAGACACATTATTCCTTTTAACACGAAGAAAACTAAGGCTCAGTAACTTGCCCAAATCTAATGGCTGATGTGGTGAATCTGAGATCTGAGGTCAGGACTAAGAGTAAAGTCAAGGCCCTTAACTTGTACAAGGCTATGCTGCCTGCCTCCCACTAAGTTATTAGGCAATGTCTCTGCTTTAGCCTGGGCTGTCACTCCCCCACTCGTCAGAGAAAAATGCTCATAGACGGTCTTCTCCTAACTAGTATACTGGCATGGTTCTGGAACTTGAGGGTTCTGGTAACCACGCCTAGGCCCTTCTATGAGCTAAGAATTGCTTCTGTGAGAAGGTGTCAACCTATGTCTCCCCCAGCTGGCATATCTAAAGCTGTATCTGCTTGGCAGGTTGGTGATCCTGAGCCCTGCTTCTGCATTGTCTGGCTTCTCCTTTCTTTGCCCTGGGCTCTAGAACAAGGGGGCCAGGCCAAGGATATTCTTTTCTAGTCCTTTGCCCAATAACAGAAAGTATTTTCACCTGAATACCAGAAGGTAAGATTCATGACAGCTGCGTGTGTTGTTCACCACTGAATCCTACAAAGAATGCCTAGCAATAGTAAGTACTCAATAGTTGCTGAATGAACAAAGTGAATGAGGTAATGTAAGAATGAGATAACTGAATTCCTGACTGCAAAGTATATAGCAAATTATTAACTGGGTTATATAAAAGTGAACTATGTATCACTACAGCTTTATGTATTCCAGAAACAGGAGACATCAAGCTAAAAAACTGACTGGAGAATCCAAAGCAAAAGGAAGAAAGGAAGAAATCCATTTAAAAACCAGGGGATGGTGCAGGGGAAGAAACAAGACATTCCAGATACTTTACCATCCCCACTCCCAAACAAATATTACCAAACACATGTTCAAACTGAGAAAAAGCCATTTTAATAACACACATACATTCATAGGACTTTAAAACAAGATGTAGTATAAAATCTTAAAAAAAAAAAAAAAAAAAAGGAAAAAAAAAGGAAATCTGCATTTATTTGTAAACTGCCTAAGAGCTGGTGGATTATCTGGCTGACAAGACTGCCCAGGGAAAACAAATGCACAGATAATGAGGTGCACCAACATTGTTAATGCATAAGAAATAACAACCACAGATCATGCTCTACATGCCTAGCCACCTGTACCCTAACCTTGCCTCCTTAGAGACAAATCAGGACAGTCCTTCCCTAATTCTCCAACTCAGTCATTTGTTAATGGGTCACCTCTTAAATTTTTACTTTTTTTAAATTTAAAAATTATTCTTGGTTTAAAGACTCCATACATTATTACTGGCCAGTCCCCACCAACTACACTTATTTTGACAGACATAAAAATGCAAATGCTCCAACTGAGCCTGGATGACAACACTCCATTTCCTATCTTTTACATCTGGGGAGATTTTTGTGAAGTCAAAAGCAAGCTATTACTTGTACCTGAAAACAAAAACAAAATGCCAACCTTCCAAAAGGTGACAAAGGCACTACTGCCATCAGGAGATAGACAGAAAATGTACAAATGCTGTTACTTTACTGCTAC